ACACTAAGCAATATGGCGGACCCTGAACACTAAGCAATATGGTGGACCCTGAACACTAAGCACTATGGCGGACTCTGCTCCAGAGAACAGGGTTATCACCACCGAGAACTTGTCCTCCACCACCCATCTTTAGGAGATCAAGTCATTCATGCTGGGTGTGCCTGATCCAGGTGCTGGTCTCTGGCCACAGACTCTGAGGAGTGCTTTCTGCTCAGGTGGGCTGAGTGGCTCTTGCACCACAGAGGCTGTTATCTTGAAGAGCACTACATGCCACTTGGAACACCTTATTCTAAGATCTGCAAAACATGCCATGTGGATGGGCGAGAGGCCAGAGATGTTTATCATGACTGCTATTCTCAAGGGTATGCTTCATTTGAATAGGTCCTGTTGATACATCAATAAATGAATTCTAAATTAGGGAAGAACTGAAACTTTTAACAGAGATACAAAGGAAAGCTCTGTTAAAAACAAACCTCTCCTAGAGTAGATTTGGGTGATTTCTTGGCTCACTGCTTTTCCCATCCCAGGATGTGAGTTAGGAGAGGCTGGAGGACCGGCTGTTGGATTTTATGGAAGGCCAGCAGGCCAGCTTTGCTGTGACCTAATACACTGCTCCAGTCTCATGGGACATTGGTGCCCAACAGAAGTGATGGGAAATTATGTGAGTTAATTTCTTAAGACTTTAGTAAATAGTCTCCATTACTTAATAGAGACATAATACTTTTTTTTTTTTTTTTTTTGCAGAACCGGGGATTGAACTCAGGCCCTTGCACTTGCCAGGGAAGTGCTTATTCCACTGAGCCATCTCCTCGGCCTGAGACATAATACTATTAATCATTTAAATTTTCTTCACTGCTGGCATAGAAATTTCACAGACAAGTTGAACATCCTTTATCCAAAAAGCTGACAACCAAGTTGCTTGAAAATCCAAAACATTCAGAGGACTCACAAGATGGCTCAAGTGGAAAATTCCACACCATAAAACTTTGCTTCATAGGAACATGTTTAAAATCTTGTACAAAATTTACCCACAGGCTATATGTACAGGTCGTACATGAAACACAAGTGAATTTCATGTTTGGACTTGGCTCCTGTCCTCAAGATATCTGTGTACATTGAAATAATCCAAAATGAAAGAAAAAACTATCTGAAATCCAAGACTCTTCTGGTCCCAAGCATTGTAGATAAGGGATACTCCACATGCAACTGTGGGAACAACGGTGACAGTTCCCTGTGTTTTGTGTCAACTAATTTGTTGAATTAATCAAAGACATCTGGCCGTCTGGGAGCAAATTAAAAGCTGAACATGGAACATTTGGCAGCCCAGCAAAGCTCTACTCTAGAATCAATAAATATGTGGGGCACTAAAAGCTAATTAGATCTGAACAGCGAAAGAAATTGTTTTACCTTTTGTGCTGGACTTGGCTTCTTCCATTGCCCTATACAAATGAGAAAAGTTACAACCTGTTTTTAATACTGGCAACAGTCACCACCTCTCCTGCCGAGCCAGCCTCTTCACTCTGCTTGTAAATTCTCAGCGCTTTAATGAGGACTAGCGGCTGAGCTCAGCGTGCTCGAGGTCCCGGGGTCCTGGGGTCCCGGGGTCCCGGGGTCCCGGGGAAGCTGGCTCTGGAAGGTGCTGAGGACAGCCTCCTGCCGACCTTGGGCGAGAGAGGTCTTCCAAGCCTCCCTGCGTCTGTCCAGCCCGCGGCAGGCATCTCTCCACTAGCACCCCTTCTAGGTTTGGGGTCTGAAGCCTAGAACCCCACAACTTCTCAGGCTGGTCTAAGTGTGGTACCAGGATGTTTTAGTTGTATATTTTGAAAAAGTTTCTAGTCCTTTCTTTTTGGTCATAGAACGTCGCGCCCTTTCTGTCACCGTTCTGGCGTGGTCAGAACATCAAACTCAAAGTCTAGACATCCCCGTTTAGGACTCTTTCCCTGCTGTTAGGTCAGTACAGCCCCTCTACCGTTTTCAAGTTGTTATTTATATTTCCTAGAGACTGTAACGTGCTCATCTTAACTGTTCTGAGAGCGGATCTTAGCATCAGGGAGCCCCTGTCTGCGAGTGTATGCTCGCTGACGTAGGCATCTTCGGAGGAAGTCCCCCTCAGCCTCTGTCCCTCTAGAGATCCACTGCGGAAGGAGCCCGTGAGGTGCACCAGCGCACACAAGCTACCTGCCCCTCGCTCTTCCATCCCGGCCTTACCCCGTGCCGTCCCCCTCCAGGAGCTGGCGGTAGGTGTTGATTTCCTTCTCCAGGTGCATCTTGATGCCCAGCAGCACCTTGTACTCGTTGCTCTGCCGCTCCAGGTCGTGGCGCAGCTGTAGCAATTCCTCCTCATGGTGGGAAATGATCTGCTGCATGTCCCGGAGCCGGCAGGAGTAGCGGGACTGGGTCTCCAGCAGCATGTTCTCCAGCGCAGATTTCTGAAAGAGGGAAGAATCAATCAATCAGTCTTGTGCTGGCCGGCTGATGGCCTGGCTGCTTTGGTGGCGTGGGCTTATTGCGTTTGGAGCTGTGGCCATCATTGTGCTGCGTGAGTCGGGAGCTGCTGGCTCGGGCGTGAGAGCGGGAACTTCTGATGTCATTTTGTGGGTGTAAAACCATCGCATCAAGGAGCTCCCAGGCACTGCCAGGCCTGCCTGGGGCGAGGGTCTCGGCTCGGCAGCCAGGGTCAGGCATGCTGTGGGGCTGGGCGCACACTGCCTGGCTCTGGACTGTCCTCTACCGCCTAACACTTCTGGTTTACCCCTGGCCAGGTGGAAGTTCCCCAAGACAGGCAGCAACTGGGGCTTTGCTCAGCTGTCCTCCAAACAGGGAAGCCCTTCCGGAGCAGCTTGTTTGAAAGGCAGCTTCTGCCTCGGCCACCCTCTTGTCCTGCACTGTCCTTCCTTGTAGTGATTGTCTCAGTCTCACTTGCTATGATGTGATTTGCGCTCGATGATTTCCACGTTTGCTGCTTGAAAGTCCGCATGCCTTGGTGATGTCGCGGAGGAGGTGTGACAGGGCAGGTCACGTGACTTTATAGTTGCAAAGCACAACACGGCGGTAGCTTCCGTGCTCGGCATGCTCACCCTGACGACACACATTTTTAATGTCCGTTCGCTACCACAGATTTGCAAACCATCACGTCCCCGGCTGTGTGCAGCTCAGCACAAGTGAACTAATCGTGTCCTCTCAGACCGTGGGGAGAGGAGGGCAGCGCGCGGACGTTAAGCTGGTGAGAGACCCCAGGGGCCCGTGGGCTGGCAAGGATCTGCAGCCCGGCTTCAGCGAGCTGTGAACGCGTAGAACCTGCATTGAAGGGCTTTTAGCAAACCGTGAAGATGACAGAAAGGACTTTGGCCCCAGAACTTAGTGCGCCAGGTGACAGGATGCAGACGTGGGGACTGCGTCGGGCCAGGCCTGGCTGCACCACCTACTGTCTTGGCACCAGGGTTTCTCCCTAATGGAGCTGGAGGGTAGGCTGGCTTCCAGAGGAGAAATATGGGGTCTAGAAACCCCCATCCCAGGATCACGTGGCAGTGCACTAGTTGTGTGGCCTTGGCCAGTTTCCTTAACTGCTTGGATACTTGGTTTCCTCATCTCTGAAATGGGGACATCACGACCTGCCTGGCAAGGTACTGTGAGGGCTAACAGCATTTCATAGGCTGAGCTGCATGGCCTGGCCTCCGGAGTCCTCTCCATGTGATGACCAAAGCTCCTGCCACCAGCCTCATCAGGAGCCATACGGAAGGGGAGTGGGGAGAGAGGCGCCGAGCGGGACTGGAGTCCGGACGGCTTCCGGGAGGCCAGGGCATACAGCGCTCAGGACTTTCCTGGCTCCACTCACCCTGCTGTGTTGTGCTTGCAGATCAATCTCCAGAGCCTGGAAGGTGCGCTTCAGCTCGTGGGCGTCACCCTGGTGGCCCTGCACAGCAGCTGGTATGGCCACCTCCTGGGACACGGCCGCCGCCTGCAGACCAAGCACGGGCGGAGGCGTCAGCCCCGCGGCGGCCCTCGGAAGCGGCCGTCCAGGGCGCCGCCCACCGCTCGCTCACCCGCTCTCTGAACCAAGCGTCCAAGTCCTGGTGCTGCTTCTTCATTATAACCTCATATTCCTGCCGCATGTCCTCCAAGACCTTGAGTAGATCCCCCCCAGGAGTCGCATCCACTTTCACGCTGACCTTGAAGTCATTTGGCATGGACTGTCCCTCCAGTTCCTGTTCCACAAGAGAGAAAGAAAACAAATCAGCAACCAGGGCCAACAGGGGCCGGAAATGTTGCGATGATTGGCAGCAGCAAAGTGGATTCTGAAAAGAACTCAGCCTAGGGGGAGCGGCCACTTTCGTGGGTGAAGTCCAGTCCCCCAGTTGTTCCTTTGTGCTAGCACAATTATATACTTTATTTTCTCTAACAGTTTCATAAAATAAAGACTAGCCCAAGACAGGTACCCGTGCAGCTTCTGTGAATCCTAAATCAATCCCGGGTTGAAAATATTTTAGAAACACTTATGCTGGTACAGTGTACACGGTTCTGCCTAGCAGCTGTCTCGGCTGTACGGTGGAGCAGAACTCAGGTTGTAGGCCAGAGCTTTTGGAAAGTGGTTCAGAAATGAAAACCCCAAAGGCTGAGAGAAGCCTTTAAAATCCTATACGTTAGGCCTCTGTGGGGCTGACGCCGGTAGGAGTTCAGGGAACCTCAGCACCAGCAGGAAAGGCTTAATTAGCAAGACGGTCTAACCAGCTATTCAGAGGCGAGGCCCTTTGATGTTCAGAAGCCACCTAAAATGGAGATGGTTTTACTATCATTTTATCAGCCCTAGCTCCTGGAGATGAATGGCAAATGCTTCTGGAGATCAAGATCCTTAATTTCTGCCCCTGGCCATGTTTACTTTGGCCCGTGGCACGACCTCTTTGTTCTCCTGTCCCCCAGTGGGCTGGGCGCTGGGTCACTGTAGGCAGCTCCGAGCAACAGATGAACTACAAGCCCCGGAAGCACCACGTGCTGACAAGGGCCTCGGCCCATGCGTGTTCCTGACCCCTGCAATTTGGCGGTGGTTTCTGACATCTGCATCCATATCGCTAAACTGGAGAAAGGGGATATCTCTGGGGTTCTTCGGGGAGGATGGCAGGACTGGCATTCAGGTGCCAGGTCCCCCTGTAGCTGCTGGCCGTCCTGTTGCGTGGGGGCTGCGAGCCAAGCGCGCCTGGGGCCCCCCGGGGCTGGTCCTACCTGCTCGTGCTGCTTCTTCATGAGGATGAGCTCCTTCCGCATCCCCTCCACCTCCTGCTCCAGATCCGTTGTGACGATGGTCAGGTCATCTAAGGTCTTTCGCAGGGCCTCCACTTCAATTTCTAGATCTTTCTTTAAGGAGCGCTCGTTTTCGTACCTTTGTTGAGAAGAAAGGAAGAGCACCCCCGCTGCTGGGAGGCTGCAAACTCCAAGTTCGCCCTGGCTTTGAAGCCAATCTCTTATTTTTTAAGTTTAATCAGAGCCCAGGAACACAGTACGGGGGACCTCTGCGGCTGTTTCTGGCTCCGCTGCTTTTCCATTGGTGGCCAAGTTTGTAACTCCATAGGGATAACAGAGTAATAAACAGCCACACACCCACCGCCTAGAGCTCAGGGCCATTAGTAGTTTGCCAAAAGTGTTTCACCCACATTCATGGCTTATGTTTTTAAACACAAATTAGAGGCATTATAATGTTAACCTCGTATCTTTTGGGGTGCATTTATTAAGACAAAAACATTTTTTTTCAAAATACAATTTTGAAAAATAAAACTCTCCTACGTACAAATCAATCATCCCTCAGTATCATCTAATTCTTGATTCGCCCTATAAAGGGAACAAACCCCAAACTCACGCCACTCTGCTCGGAAAGGGCTTACTTGAGGTTGAAGTCATCCACTGCCATCCTGGCGTTGTCGATGAGCACAAGGATGTGAGCGTTGGCCACCTTGCCGTCCACGATCTGCAAGACAGACCAGGCGACGCTGGCCCACGTGCCAGGCTCTGCCCCTCCCCCGCCCAGGCTCGGGGCTGTGGGCAGCGGCACAGGCGACCTCTCCGCAGCGCTGCGGAGCGGATCGCCTGCTGAGCAAGGCGAGGTGCGAGCGTGGCGAGGTCTCCGGTAAGCATCGGACCTGTGCTCACTGTCACCGTTTCTTTTTACGTGGAGCTATGACAAGTCGGGACCGAAGCTGCGTGGAAAAAGGGAAGTGGAAACCCGCAAAGGTTCAAAACGCCTCCTAACGTCAGTGTTCCAAACGGGGATTAGTGTTGTGCTTGCGCTCCCTGCAACTGAAGATGCTAAGCGTGTAGGTTGTGAGTCTTGTCTTAGTAGGAATATTAGGTCAGTTCTCCTAGAGTGCAATCTTCATTATTTCATTTATTTATTTATTTATTTTTGCGGACCCGGGGATTGAACTCAGGTCCTTGCGCTTGCCAAGGAAGCACATATTCCACTGGGCCATCTCCCCAGCCAATCATCATTATTTTAGATGAGCCGATTCATATTTGGGAATATATTTATGGTTCCAGTCATCGTGCATGAGCAAAAAAGGCGAGTGACTGGCTATATTTCTTAATAATCACTAACAGCACAATTAAGTCCCCCCCCCCAGTGTCCAGCGCCATTGACAAGGTGTGATTGACAACCTAGTGAATGTTTCAGTGAACAAAACATTATTACAGTAAAAGAAAGTGGCAAGAACTCTGGGGTACGCACACCCAAAGTGAGGGAAGGTTTTGGTGGTGTAAATGGCAACGTGCCCTTTACTATAACAGGCCTGAGGCCTTAAGCACTCCCCGTGTAGTGATCCTTTGTATGTGCCTTGCGGGTGTGGGTGTAACATAGTCCACGACAAGAATACCCAATCGTAGCCATTAAAACACTTACCGAGCTAATTTTTTAACCATCTAATATAGGTGCTCCAGGAGCCACCACAGTATGACAGCTTCCAGTGAAAGGTTTTCACCGGATATGCATGTAAAGCTTTGTGTACTTTAAAAGGAAAATATTGTCGGAGGTATTTTGAACAGCAGTGCACACAGCATAACCAGAGAACTGGAGCACGCTGGCCTGTGGCACTGTCTTTGGGGAAGTGAGGTGGAGAATTTTTCAGGAGAACCGTAGTACAGTGCTTTTGTAACCAAGTATTATGCCAAACTGGATACTCCTTTGGTTCCGGCTCTGTTCCCAACCGTCCGTGTGGTCTCGGGCAGGTCACTCCCTCTATTTCAGTTTCATATTTTGCCTAATAAGGAGTTCACGCCAGCATAGGTGACCTTGCACATCCCCTCGCTAAACTTCTGTTATTTAGTTGGCATTTAAAAAATCCTGTGTTGGTGGCCTGCCCCTTAGCTCAGTTCTTTAAGTGGCTGCTTCAACAAAGCAGTCAGGCTCAGGTTTCTGTGGTTCGATCCCCATAACTCAAG